AGAATTTCAGGGGGGTATGTGAGGCTTATCAGTATGCCCCGCCCACTCCTTCCTACCCCCTCCCCCCCACTCCCGATGCGGTAAGGAAAAGTGTGTGTGAAATTCCAAAAAAACTTCTCGATATATTTTGAAATGAGTAAAGGAGGGATAAAGTTCAGAGAAAGTAGTTGTAAGTTTTTTAACGTTAATATTCGATGATGGCTGTGCACACACACACACATATGTATATATATATATATATATATATATATATATATATATATATATATATATATATATATATATATATATATATATATTATATATATATATATATATATATATATATATATATATATATATATAATACATATATATGTATATATAATATAATATATATATATATATATATATATATATATATATATATGTGTTGTGTGTGTGTGTGTGTGTGTGTGTTGTGTGTGTGTGTGTGTGTGTGTGTTGTGTGTGTGTGTGTGTGTGTGTGTGTGTGATGTGTGTGTGTGTGTGTGTGTGTGTGTGTGTGTGTGTGTGTGTGGATGGATAGATAGATGCAGATAAATGGATGAATGGTTGGACAAGTGGCTGTATGAATGGATGAATGAATGAATGGAGGGAGGGAGAGATGGACAGATAGATAGACAGATGGATGGTTGAATAGGTGGATGGATGGATGAATGGAAGGATGGTTAAATATACAGATAGAAGGGTAGACATATAGATGTATCGAGATGGATGGATAGGTTTATGGATAGATGTATAGAGATAGATGGATAGGTTTATGGAATAATGGATAGATGTATAGAGATAGATGGATAGGTTTATGGATAAGATGGATAGAGATAGATGATAGATGGGATAGATGTATAAGTAGATGGATAGAGGTATAAGTATATGGATAGATGGATAGTAGTATAAGTAGATGGATAGACAGATAGATGGGTAGATGTATAAGTAAATGGATAGACAGATAGATGGGTAGATATTATAGTATGTATAAGTAGATGGATAGATGTATAAGTAGATGGATAGATGGATAGATGTATAAGTAGATGGATAGACAGATAGATAGATGTATAAGTAGATGGATAGACAGATAGATAGATAGATGTATAAGTAGATGGATAGACAGATAGATGAACAGATAGACAGGTATATGTCAGAGGTCAAAAACTTACTTTAATAATCTGTTTCTGGTTATTAACCACTCGATAATTGTCATTAGGGTTCAGCACCAGCACAGCATAGCCTTCTCTTCGTGCAAGTTGGAGGTATGGGATCTGGGTTCCCACGTCTATGCTGTTGTTGATGGTCAGCCTGAAAGTACCAGGTTAATTATTTATTGAAGATGATTATGGTGGTCACAATGGGGGGTGGTGATGGTGTGGTGATGGTGGAATGGTATGGTGATGGTGATGGTGGGATGGTGATGATGTGATGATGAATGAATGAGATGAAGATGAAGATGAAGAAAGAGAAGTAAGAAAAGTTTGAAGAAGAAGAAGAAAAAGATTAAGAAGATGATGAAGAAGAAGAAAAAGTAGAAACAAACCAGGAAGAGAGAGAGAGAGAGAGAGAGAGAAGAGAGAGAGAAGAGAGAGAGAGAGAGAGAAGAGAGAGAGAGAGTAGGGAGAAGAAGAAATGCATTTATGAATAGATACATAAGTAGATATATATAGAAAATAATAGATAAATATATAATTGATAAATCAATAAACAGATAAATAATACTTGATAAACAAATGAATAAATGAATCATAACTGATAAAGAAATGAATAATTAGATACAAAAACAAAAAAGAATTAAGTTTTGATTAACCATATTTCTTCACATAAAACATAACTAAGCTTGGAACTCATCAATGTCATGAAATTAGAAAATAAACAATAAATAAAAAAACAAATAAAAAAAGTAATTTCTTTATGTAAGAGACAATTAAGCTTTAAACTTTAATATTACGAATTTAGGGCCAAATTTTTCTGAAGGTGATTTTATTTTTTATATCTAATTATTCATTCCTTTATCAGTTATGATTCATTTATTCATTTATTTATCAACTATTATTGATGTTAACGAGTCGACAGAATATCAGGTTTTGTTTTGTTATTGACTTATACTGAATAAATATACGTGTAAGAAACAAGTAAAATATGTTGATGTTGATAGTAATGTTTAACTTGATGTTGTTGAAGTTGATGTTGAGTTTGATGTTGATGTTGATGTTTAATTTTGATTGTGTTTGATTGATGTTGATTGTTGATGATTTTGATGTTGATGTTGATATTGATGTTGATGATGATGTTGATTTTTGATGATGATTTGATATTGATGTTGATTATACTGATGTTGATGTTGATTTTTGATATTGATGTTTGATTGATTTTGTATGATGATGTTGATTATTTTGATGTTGATTTTGATGTTGAATTTGATGTTGATGATTTAGATGATGTTGATGTTGATGTTGAATGATGTTATGTTGGTGTTGATGGTGTTGAC